AAATCTGTAGTTGTTTTGTAAAGCTTTAGGTGAATATTTTAAGTTATTCCAAACAAAATGGCAAATCAGTGTCACGGAAGGAATCTGAAGCATTATCAATCGATGCGAACACTGATTGATTCGTGCAAAGTCAACAGTTTTTCTGGATGCCAGTCTGTATCTGCCTGTAAATCCAGTCCAGCAGCCACCACACACTGGCTCTCTAGCTGCTAGTGAAGGGGTGAAAACTCTAAATGGAGAGGAGCAAGAAACTGAATCCTGGGCGGAGCGGTGCTTTCAAAGGCTGGCCCAGAAGCGGAAAATCTGGGTTCACTGATCATATAAAAGCTATCAACCCGTTTCCACAAGGAAACACTACTGTGTTATTCTACAATATACCACGATTGCGTTTTTGCACGTTATAAAAATACACGTTGTAAACAAAAGACCTCTGTAATGTTGTCTTTAAGGAGCAGAGTTTGCGTAGCTGAAAATTTCTAGCGACTGTTAAATTAAAGCGACTGTGAAAACATAATTAATATGACCAAAGTATATAGATTCTTGCCTAATCAGTAAGAAATACGCACTGTAGAATGCAAATAGTTTTGTTTATTAAATAAGGGGCCAAATTTGGACTTTACTAGGGGCACTCGAATTAGACATAAGATTACTTCCTGTGAACTGGTATTCGGAGCAAATCAGAATCAGAATCAGCTTTATTGGCCAGGTGTGTTGGACACACGAGGATTTTGACTCCATTACATCGGCTCTCAGTGTGTATGTACATGTCCTTATGTGAGGCAGCAATGGGCAGATAAACAATGTAAGGCTGAGAACAGAAGTAAATAAGTAATGTGCAAATCCTCAGCCTGTCAGAGCCTTTTCTATGGATTAATTTGATTGTGCTCATGACTGGTAGAATGTTTAATAGTTAATATGTTTAATAATATAATAAAACAATCATTATAGTAAAAAAGATCACACTGATGAGCTCAAAATCAAGCATCTGTTTAGATGCAGAGTCAACTGCCCCAAATAAACAGACAACACATTTTAATTTAGTTTCTTGGGTTTTGTGTTGCAGCACATTAAGTAAAACTTGAAAACTAAATTTAGCAAATTTAGTCCAATAGCTGTGTTCTTAACATCAGTGCAGTGCTCTCTGAAATGAAAGGCCTAGCTTCTTAATCATTTACATGTTTTTTCCACAAGATGGAGCCACAGGCAAAAATATGGTGTTAAAGGCTTAACTATAAAAGGAGGAAGTTGTATGCATGTGACTGATTACAACATGAATAGAGGTTTTTATTAAGTTTTAATAAATGTTGTTGAATGCTGTTTGTGTTTTTGATACCTCCAAAATCTGTGACTGAAACATTTGTAGTTTTGTCTAAACAACAAAAGATCACTGTGCTGTGACAGACGGTAAAACTAGATAAATAAATAAAATAGGTCCTGGGAAGTTTAGAAAGTGAAAGGAATGGGTTGAAAGTCAGATTGCCAGAGGTCCTAAATGAGTTTTGAATCAGACCATAAATACTGACACAGCGTCTGTCCCCTGACAATGGCAGGAAGCTTGTTCAAAAGGGAGGAGGTCATAGAGGAAAAGACTCTGCCCCCTGATGTTTCAAATGTGAGGAGTAACAAGGGGTATTTGTTTTTGAATCAATAAATGTAAGCTCCTCAAAACAAGTGAGGGACACAGAAATATTAACACAAATGTCTGCTGTTATTGAGTGGTGGGATATAACCTAGTGCATCTAAAGTGCACTACTTAAGTGGGATTTTGGGCGTCGTTGGATTTGCAGAAATGTAAAAATGTAAAAACAAAATCCTACACACTGCCTCACTTAGGCTGAATAACTTATTAAATAGACAACATTTAATAAATTATTCAGTCCAACCAAGAAAGTGTAGGAGTTTTTCCACCTAAACCAGCTTCAACTGTGAAATGGTGCTTGCACAATTCAGGATCAGAATCAGCTTTATTGGTTAAGTGTGTTGAACACACAAGGATTTTGACGTTAGTTTTGTTATACAGTCATAGGTTAACTGTTCATCGGTGTAGCGGCCTAGGGGAAGAAACTGTCCTTGTGCCTGGTTGTCTTAGTGCACAGTGACCTATAACGCCGTCCAGAGGGGAGGAATTCAAACAGTTTGTGTCCGGGGTGTGAGGGGTCAGCAGTGATCCTCTCCACCCTCCTTTTGACCTATGAGGTGTACAAGTCCTCCATGGAGGGCAGGCTGGCACTGATGGTTCTTTCTGCCTCTGACTGGAAGTAAATGTATAATAATATAAAAAATGACTGAGACCAGTGCCTACTTTTTGTACTTTATACTACTAAGTAAACTAAGATAATTATTTACTTCTACTTTTCAATGTATGACTTTTACTTATAATGGAGTATTTTTATGTTGTAATTTTACCTGTGTGAAAGCTCACAGCTTCCATTACTGCTGCCACTATGGTATACTACTATTAAAAATATTGTTTTTGTCCAAACCCTTTTATAATGAATATGTAAAAAATGTATTTAATTATCTGTCTGATGATTAGTCTACCATGATCTCAGTCATCTTTGTGTTTACCAAATAATTACATGACAATTTGTGTGTGTGATCTGGGAGGTACTGTACAGTATATCTTACAATAAAAACAAAAAACTATGTATAAAATATTGAATTTTGAAATATACACCACTATCACATTATATAGTACACATGAAGACATGGCTAAGTTTGTGAGAATGTTCTATCCAGCTTGGTTAGCACATACTGTACATAATAGGCGGTGGCAGAGGTGCGGACAGAAATGGGTCTCACTAAAACATTCAAAATTGGTAATTTTATTTTAAACAATGATTAACAGGGCCTGCATGCTTGATACTCTCAGGAATCTGTTATTAACTAGCTTTTCACCTCCTACATTTATGCTTAATATGCCCCATATGCATGGATGGACTGCTACAAAACACAGGCCCAAGGGTTCAGGGGGCTCAGGGGTCAGCATCCCAGTTTGAAGTGCTGTTTTTTGCAAGTCAGTCTAACAACCAAAAAGATGCACAAATTTACCATAAAGAGATGCATACATAATTATAGACAAATAGAAAACAGCTACAAATAGAAATGAAACAGCTACAAAGACTGAAAAAAAAAAACAACCACACAGAGTGTAGGACTGGAAGGGTCTCTTACATGCCTGTGCCGAGGGGCCAATTGTTTTATAATCAGTCTATGCCCATATGTTGTAAAAGACATGAAGTCTGTTGAAATAACTAAAGATGTTTGGAGTGGCCCTGTGGCATGTGGTTTAGTTTTTAAATGAACTAAATGGAAAGTCCACATTTAAATAGATTTCAGATGTGTTTCTGCTTCGACTTATGGCATAAAATCCAGTACTACAAAAAACCAAATGCTCTACAACTTTGAAAATAATCTCATCTTCCTTGCTACTGATAGGCATTTGAAACCAAAGCGAGAACATGTGCGAGGCTGCCCTGGTCCATTCAAAGTGTGGTACCAGGAGCCAGCTGGAGTTGTTTTAACACAGGGTTTGCCTTTTTGTTTTTGGCCTTGATGTGACTGAAGTATGAGACAGCAGATCCATCTTCACTCCTGGCCATCTGATAACTCCCTGCAAATCAAGGCAGCAGCAGTTCAATAATGCTCCTGCCCAGATCAAATAAACATAAACTTTGTTGCCAAGTATTATCAAAAATACAAGGAATTTGACTCTAGCCCAATGGCTGCACAGCAATTAAAACAAAATAAATATAAAATATGCTTATGGGTAAAAACTAACTCCATACATTCATCTATTATCTATACCATTTATCCTGAATAGGGTCACGGGAAGGCTGGAACCCAGTCCATCACAGGGCTGACACTTAGAGACAAACAACCACACACACCCACACTCACTCCTACTGGCAATTTAGAGTCACCAATCAACCTAAGCTGCATGTCTTTGGACTGTGGGATGGAGCTGGAGTACCCGGAGAAACCCACACAAACACAGGGAGAACATGCAGACTCCACACAGAAAGGCACTGGGTCGGCCGGGGCACAATCCCACTACCTTCTTGCTGTGAGGTGACAGTCATAACCACTGCAGCACCATGCCACCCACCATGCCAAGCAAGTTATTTATTACTTACCACTTCAACGGTACAATACATAAGTGCAAGGCACACTTATGTAGCTTTTATACAGTATGCTGTGTGCGTTGCATGCCATTTTAAACATGTATGTATCTAGCCTTGCACATTAAGGTTGAGCTTTTAATTTTGTTGTTCTTGGTACAATGACAATAAACATTGATTCTGATTCTGAAGATGCAAACAACTGCAAAAAAAGGAACTAGTTTAAGCCCAATTTGTCTAAAAATGCAATATCCTTATTGCGTCTTAAGCAGTTTAACCCAATACAGAGATCAGATGCTATTATACGCAGTAACACAGTAGCAGTAACAGATATGATGTTTGCGCTGATATCTCTGGTAGAGCATGGTTGGATCTGACTGCTAGTGCATTTGGGTCAACACAAACTCAAGGACTCGAGTTACATTAATGAAAGATGCTTCCGAGTCCACGTGTCTTTGATGCACTGTTGTGCTTTCTATTCTCCTTCATCTCAGCTGTATTCACAACCCTAATGCAGTGTAAATAAATAAAGTGGAACACTTTAACAGAGACGTGCATATGTATGAGATGTAAAATAATTTCATCCCTTTGAGCGTTTTCTTGTCAGCTCTCAGAAGCAACACATCAGTGTGTTTTCCACAACAAAAGTTTCCTTCCCCTCTTGTCACCAGGTGCCATCTCATTAGTGGTAAATCACTAAGCTGACATTTATGTTGTACCCAGTCACACAGCATCTCCTTTTCACTGGAAGGCTGCTATCACAGCAAAGTGACGCAGTGTTTGTTTAGGAGCGTACGAGAGATTTCACACACAGAAATCATTCTGTGTACAGTTTAGTGCTTGTGACTGGGGTTGCGGGGTGTTGAAATGAAAAGGATGTGAGAGCAGGAAAAAATATATTGCATCCTAATATTAGAAGCCAAAATTTAAGTAATGAAATGCCAGAGAAGTCAGATAATCTTTGCCAAAAATGAAAAGCAGTAACATACAAAAAGAAATGAGCAGCATAGGTGGTTTAGTGCACCTATTAAGAAGACTGAAATGGCAAGCTGCTTTTAAATTCCTAATGCCGTTATAGCAGCAGTGTGTGGAGCTCTTCAAGAGTCTTATCCGCCTCACGATACTTCATTTGTGGAAAATTATTTTCTTTGGTGTGTAGTTTGATACTCCATAGAACTAGTTTGCAGGGTTGATAGCTGCAGCAGCCAGTGAGTTTTCATTAATAGTTTTGTTCTTAAGCAAGACACTTTAAGGTAAGTGGTGAAAAAAGCCTACAGATCATTTGCTTAAATACTAAACTGTCAAAAACGACATTATGTAAAAGTATTGCATTCCAAATTTAAGCCAAGGTAATTACAGTATCAAAAGCAGAAGTACTCTTTATGTTATGATACATACTAGATGCTTATTACCAGTAATTACTGATTTACTAAGATGAAGCATCATTTTAATTTATCTGGTCAGTAATTAATTTGAACAATTTTATAAACTGCTAGGCCAGCATACTTTAAACTATAGCAATGCATTTTTTAAAATAAAATAATCACTTTAATCTGCAAAGTATCTAGTAACAACAGCTGCTATAATGTAGTAGAGTAAAAAGTAGGCTACAGTGAACAGAGAGTAGCATCAAATCAGTACACTTAAGTTAGCCTCTTTAAAAAACACCTCAGCTTTTGGGTATAAATTCTTTTTCTATTAAACTTTATTTCTCCACATTCCCATCATCCTCAGTAGATTTTTAGGTGTGCATCATATTGTGCACTGATCAGTAACAGGACTCTTACTTAGACATCAGGACCCCCATACAGATGCACACCACTCCATGGGCCCTGCTGTGTACGTCGGACCTATAGCGACCCTTTATGGATGTTTTGGGTGTCCCCGGGTGTCCCCCGAGTGGCCCCCGAGTGGCCCCCCGGGCCGGCCGCCCCCAGAAGAAGCCTTTAGTAAAAGGGGAGATAGTAGTAAAACTGAAGAAAACTTTGTTCGAGAGGAGCTGCTTATCTAAACTTTAGTGAAACAGCGCGTTGTCTTCGTCCCCGACTGTGTTTCCGCAACAGCGGAGCTTCATGAACGCCCAGCGGGGAGAGGAGCGCCTCTGACAGCCACGGCCACCGGAGCGACTTCAACTTCTACCAAGTTTACTGGGGCATTTTCCCGGAGGCTCTGCTGGTACGTCCGCTCCTCATCAAGGGTTAACGCTGCGATAGTTACCGCTTCGCCTGCTTGTAAACAAGTATGATGGTTTAGCAAAAGACGGTCAGTGTGCACGCTGCCTGTGAACAGAGTAAAAGAAACCTTCTCCCACTAGCTGTGTTTACCGAACAGCTGAACAGCTGAACAGCTCTCTTCGACCCGCTGACACACAGCTATCCTCCTACGGGCTCGTAGCTACTAGTTACTCATGTTGAAATATAGTTTTCTGTTGTTGAGGCCATGTTTGACTTTAACACTGGAGACAGCAGTGAAACCCAAGTAACCAGCGTGAAGCCTGTGCAGTGTTTACACGGGTATCTGCTGCAGACGGAGAGCAGCATGACGGGATACGGTGTTGGCTTCAGCCGCCGGATGAAGCGGGACTGAACGGGCTGATATTCTATTAGACACCTCATAGGTCAACAGGCAGTGCCCGTAAATAAGGTGATGCTGTGCGTTTGCAGTGTCACTCAGTGTTACAGTGACAGATGAGGCTGCTAATAGTTTTGGAGCCAGGGGGAACAGCAGAGGTAGAGTCATGTAATTAACGGTGTTAACTATCTGATGTGCTGCATTGAGGAACTGACAGAGAGATTATTGACCTTTTTTTATTATACTGGCCCCTCAGCGTATACATTTTAGGAGCAAATTGTGCATTCATAGCATTGTCCCACATCTTGATGTGGTTGGTCTGACCAGGTATATTTATGATGAAACATTTGACCCATCAGCTGAGGACTGCATCCAACCACTGTCATTATAATTATTTTACTATTGATTTATCTGCTCATTATCTCTTGGTTAATACAATTCTTTAGTTGGATAAATGTAAAAAACAAACGAACAATGAAATGTGATGTCTTCAAATTGCTTATTTTGTTCCACCAACAGTCCACAACCCAAAGGTGTTCAGTTTAAAATGGGACAAAACAGCAAAATCTCACATATGAGAACAGGGAACCAGCAGGTTTTGGTAATTTTAGTCTAAAAATGGCTTTAAAGGTTAAACAATCAATCACCTATCAAAATAGTTTCAGATGAATTAATTGACTACTTGTTTTAGCTCTAATTTAAGAAGATATAAATGCTAATATGTGCATATTAGAGCATACTTGATGGACCAGGATCCTAAGTTACAAAAATGCAGTAGCATGACTACAACAGACTAGATTTATTATTTGTTTTGCAAATGTCACATCTGAAGGTGTTTCTGTGAATTGACATGCTTGTGGTCATGGTCTGTAGCTGTGTGAGAGATAAGGCTTTAAAGAAACCCTTGCTATCAGTCATTTTAGAGCTGTATTTTTGTAATGGAATGAGTGGGAACTTTGGTGGTTTGTCAGTTGGAGCCTGTACATACCGTATTCACACTGAATGGAGAGAGGAGCTCATTTCAGATCATTCAGCAGGTCATCTGACCATGTGAACAGTTTGGTGACATGCTTTATGAGGCAACCTGGTGTCAGATTAGTAAGTCTTTATATCTTAGTCACAGGCCATAAGATGCAGTGAGTAACTCTGCTGCCTTTTGTGTTGCTGCTCTTTTCACTTATGGATTTCTGATTACAGGAACAAAACATATGCCCCCTGTTTTAGGAAACTTTAACTGTAGTGGATGTATATGTAATGACACAAATATAAGCCAGGCCTTTAACAGTGAAGTGACTGCAAGTAAGTACTGTAGCTTGTTTTCAGTAATGTTCAGTGTTCAGTCTGGGGTCTGCATGGCCTAATGTAGTTTCCAGATCTTTGGGTGAAATAGATGCTTGTCTTTGATGGTCAGGGTTGACGAGAAGTCATATGAGGTGACTTGAGTTGTTGCTGCAACAAAACCAAGGCCATGGCATGCAGCTTTTGGTGTTAAAACCTTACATTCAACCCAAAACAAGAAGTTTCTGGGTAAATCTTTCCATACAGAAAGAATGCCTTTTTATCAGGTCAGTCTGAAATGCGTCAGAAGAGTTCTTTGATTTGGTCTAACTACTGGTATACAGTTTACCTTTGCTTAGCCAGTGAGGAGATGAAGGTCAAGGGGGACCATAAATCAGAAAGTGAGAGCTGGCTCTCCTGCTCTAGCTAAAAGTGTAATATTTGTCATGCTCTTCTAAAATGCCCTGCAGCCGCCACAGTGAAAGGTCCTTTTGTCCTGTGCAAGCTGTTTGCACTGCAGAGTGATGCCCCTTAGTGCTTCACTTCCCATGCACCCTCTGTAGTACACCATAAGTCAGATAGGTGCACATCTGTTTCTACCATGTGGTACTTTACTAGTCACGCATGCAGCTTTTAAAGTGTGAATGTGTGCAATTCCTGTCACAGCACCCTCACCACATGGCTCTGACATTAGGCATGAGCTACACTTACAGTTTTGTGTTGTCGTAAAGAATCAGATACCAGTCAAAGAAGTAGCTGGCATCTTTCCAAACATGACTGATAACAATCTAGACTTTTTGAAGTGTGGTAACCAAGAAAGTGGAATATATTGTTGGTGTTTCAGGTTCATAGCTGCTTTAATCAAATGTTTGTTGATGTCATGTGTTTATGGAGACTGTTGTCTGATACTGGGCAATTGGATTGTTTAAAAATCTAAAGTATCAGTATTGATATTGGTCTAAAAATTCCAGTGTTAACTGGGCTACACCTTTGTGTCTCTGATTTTAGCTTCTAAAACTGAAAAATGAAAAAATTTGCATTTGCTTTAAATGAGCGAATGGGATTTGGCTTTAGTTAGGCTACATTTCCTGCTTTTAAAAATCTTACTGCAACTCCTATCCTTATTCTTTGGGTTGCTGCATTTTATATGTTTATAATAATGAAGTTAGTATTAAAGTCAAGCTAAAATTTTAACACATCACCTTTTTGTAGAGAAACCACAGTACAATGGTATCACATCTGTTGTGACATCAAAAGAGGAAAAACCATGTTTGGATGTCTGTGCTGTAAGTCTGGGTGGGGTTTGTCCATGGCAGAAACTCACTGACATCTGAGAGGTGGTGTTTATTAAGAGATGTGCTGATAATGTCTGTCGTACACCAGAAGAATTTTTTTTCCCTCTTTCAACAAGACACATAACATTGTTTAGCCATTTGTGATATCTGTCCCTTTACAATATGCAACATTGGGAGAACTCATTATACTGTTCTGGTTGTAGTTCACTGGGAAAGTAGATGTACCTAGACTCTTCTTCTGTGTAATGAGCTGCATGCAGTGACTGAAAATCAAAACGTCTTCTTCTTCTTTCATCTGTTCCCGTTAGGGGTCGAATCATCTGTTTCCACCTAACTCTATCCTCGGCATCCTCTACTCTCACCCCAGTTAAATTCATGTCCTCTTTTAGCACATCCTTATATCTCCTCTTTGGCCTTCCTCTTGACCTCTTGCCTGGCAGCTCCATCTCCAACATCCTTCTACCAATATAACCACAATCCCTCCTCTGCACATGCCCAAACCATCTCAATCTGGCCTCTCTGACCTTGTCCCCAAACAGCCGACCTGAGCTGTCCCTCTGATGTGCTCATTCCTAATCCTGTCCATCCTGGTCCCTCCTAAAGAGAACCTCAACATCCTCATCTCTGCTACCTCCATCTCTGCCTCTTGTCTTTTCCTCACTGCTACAGTCTCTAACCCATACAGCATAGCTGGTCTCACTACTGTCTTGTACACCTTTCCTTTGATTCTTGCTGACACTCTTCTGTCACACAACACTCCTGACACCTTTCTCCACCCACTCCAACCCGCCTGCACTCGCCTCTTCACCTCTTTCCTACACTCCCCATCACACTGGACTGTTGACCTAATCCTAATAAACATGAAATGTGATTAAACAATGTGAATATAAACTATCATGCTGGACTTAGTCCTCTACAAACCTCTCCAAAAGTTTTGCTTTGCTTTTCAAGCATCTGTATTTTTTTTTCCAGCAGCAGAAATGGCTGAGAAGAGGAAGGGGAAGGGGGCGGAGCCTCCGTCCTCCATCACGTCTCAAAAGCCAATGAGCTCCTGCAGTGAGCTGTCAGTCAGGTAAAGCTACACCCTGTCAACAAGCAGCGGCAAAGCCATAAACAAAGGGGACAA